GCCCCTCCAGCCCCTCCAGCCCCTCCAGCCCGGTACCTGCCGCCGGCCCGCCCCATCCCGGCCCCGGGAAGTGGATGCCGGTGACGCCGCTTCCCTTCCAGGTCACGGCCGGGCTGGGCCAGCCCCGCTCCGGCTGCTGCCGGGGGAAACAGCAGCCGGGTTATTTACGGCAGCCAGCCCTGCAATGGATAAAAAGCTCCGGGGTGAAACATCTTCCTTCCCCGGTTTTCCTTAAGGAAAGCAGCAAAGCGAGGAGGGCGGAGGATAAATGGGGAAGGAGCTGGAGACAGGAGCCAGCTGCCAGGCTGGGCTCACTCACGGCCAGCACCGCCACCTGCTGCCATCCTGTGTCACCCACCCGGGACAGCTCCGCAGGCGCTTTGGGCCCAGGATTCTCCTCTTAGTCCCCAGCCTCCCCAAAAAAATACACTGAAAACCGGGCAGTGGCTGAGGCTGGAAAAATCCTTTACAGCATCATGAGTTCCAAGCGCCAGGGCCACCACCAGCCCTGTCCCCAGGTGCCACCACCAGCCTGGCACCTCTTTGACACGTCTGAGTCACCAAAGCTGGAACTCTGAGCCTTGGGAAGGGAATCAGGGCCCATCAGCACAGCTTCCGTCCACCCGCCCCCATTTAAACACCACAAACTCCATGGAATTGTGTTTTTTATTTCCAAGTTTCAGTCAGAATATCGGCTTCAAAAATAAATGAAGTAAGGGTCAAATAAACTTGTGGGATAATGAAACAGCAACCCTAAGCTACAGCTCCACAGGGGAAACTCCAGGAAATATCTTGACCCATTAAATATTGCCCCTCTTCTCCAACAGCAGCTGAAAGGAGTAAGAAATTCACCTTCAGACAGCATCCAAGAGATCGTTGGGAGTAGAGGAACAGACTAGAAAAACTCAGGTTTCCTATTTCCAATACCAGGATAGCAAAATAGTGAGTTGAAAAATATTTACAAGGATTATCTACAAAACAGCTACAGTGCTCCCAGGATGCTCCAAAGCTCTGGAATTGCCCCCTCCAGGCAGGAGCAGATCCCCCCAGTCCTGCTCCAGTTAAGAGTCATCCTGCTGGTCCTCGATCTTTGGGGCCAGGTAGTACTTCAGGTGTCCCATGTCAGCGATCTTGTACTCCACAACTGGGGAAGAGAATGGAAAAAAACCAGGGATGTTCAGAAGGTTCTCCATAAAATCCAGCCTCAATTCCAGCTCTCCAGAGGCAGAGCTGTGGCACTCACCCAGAGGGACATCTGCAGACATGCTGAGTGTGACCGTGGGGGACAGCGGCGTGGCTTTGGTGAAGAAGTTCAGGTACCTCAGGGCGAAGGTCAGCTGCACCGGCTCGTTCATCTCGATTGTGACCTGGGGAAGCAGGGCAGGCTCGGGAAATGCAGCTGCAGGGATCCCAGAGCCCTGGGCCACCTCAGCAAGCTCAGTGCAGCTCCCAGGGCAAGGTGAGAGCTGGAGAACTCCAGGAACCAGAGGGAGACACGGCCGTGTCCCTGCAGGGCTTGGACTCGGTGACCTCTTCCACCTTTCCCACCCCCAGCTATTCCCTGATTCCAGGATCCCCCACAGGGCAGAGACTTGACCCCTGAGCCTCCCCACTCACAGCCTCCTCCTCCTTGTCCACGTTGCTGGTCTGGGACAGTTTGATGTTGCCGTTGCCCAGCTCGCCGTTGGCCGAGAACTTGACGCCGTCCTTGGCGCAGGAGATGACCACGGCGTCACCGATGTGGCTCAGGTCCCGGCAGATGCGGGCAAACTCAGCCGAGGGCATCTTCACCACACAGCTGTACTCCTGCTCCTGGGGGGGACACGGGGACACCCTCAGGGACAGCCTGCCAGGGCTGGGGGGACACAGGGACACCCCCAGGGACACCCTGACAGGGCTGGGGGGACACAGGGACACCCCCAGGGACACCCTGACAGGGCTGGGGGGACACAGGGACACCCCTAGGGACACCCTGCCAGGGCTGGGGGGACACAGGGACACCCCTAGGGACACCCTGACAGGGCCAGGGTCACAGGGACACCCCTAGGGACACCCTGCCAGGGCTGGGAACTCCCAGGGTCCCAGGGACACCCCCAGTGACACCCTGCCAGCCCTGGGGTACCCACAATGACACCCCCAGGGACACCCTGCCAGGGCCAGGCTCCTCCAGCACTCCAAAGCACGCTGTGTTACCAGAACTGATGTCAATGTGCCAAACACCCAGTTCCACACCAGTCACCTGAGCCGTCACTTACTGGGATTCCCAGCTGCTCCACATCGAGATCCATCAGCTTCATCTCGTAATCAGAAACCTTTTCCTGGTCTGGAGAAGCAAGGCACAGTTACACCCCGTGTTTACAACGAGTGACAAACATCAATTTAACTGCTGCCACTGCCTCCAAGCGGAACCACCTCAATAATGACAGGAAGGTTTTCCTTAGAGCTGCAACTCTGGGAAGCCTTTACAGGCTGTAAGGGTACAGCAAATATATCTATGTGCAGCCTAAAAGAGTCTTCCTCTTACACACTAAATATTTATCAAGCTGATGAAGTTTTAATTTCCAGACTGTTCCAAGAATCAGGTGTCCCTTCCCATTCCTGCAGGATCTTTTGCCATTTCGCTCCCTCCTGCATCCCTGTGGTTTATGAAGCTGCCTAAACACATCCCAGTAACAAAGGAGCTCCCAAATCCAACACTCACTGGGTGCCTCGAACACCAGGGCCAAGGTGTCTGCGTTGTCCTCAGCCCGCAGGGTGATGATGTCCTCGTTCCCTGCACATTTCAGGATTTTGGACATGCTGGAAGGGAGAAAGGCAGGTGACTCACGGGGCTGAGAGCTGACAGGGCTGCAGGGGATGTGATATCACAGTTATCACTCTCCTTTTAACACTGTTGGAAAAGTGAGTGTACAGGGAGACTCCCCAGCCTCTCTGGCCAATCTCTTCCGGTGCTTGGCCACCCAAAAAGTTCTTCCAGATTGCAGAGTGGAACTTCCCTTGCATCAGTTCCTGCCTGTTCCTCTTGTCCCATGGCTGGACCCTTTGGAACAGAGCCTGGATCCAACCTCTGATCTCTCCCATGGATATTTATACATGAATTTCCCTCTCTCAGCAGTCTATTCCCAAGGCATGAAGAGCCTCAGCTCCCTCAGCCTTTCCTCATAACCGAGATGCTCCAGAGCCCTCATCTTTGTCACCCTCGCTGGACCCGCTTAAGGAGCTCCGTGTCTCTCCTCTCTTGTGCCCAGAGCTGGGCACAGCACTCCAGAGGCGCCTCACAGGGCTGGAACGATCACCTCCCCGGCTTCATCCTGCTGCTCCCCATAATTCTGTACTTTCCCAGCGCCAGGCCCAGGAGCTGTCACCCGCTTCCCTCAGGAGGGGCCATGGCGGCGACCCCGCCACCGCCGCCTTTTCCCGCCACTTGGCGCCGGCAGTGACGTCACGGCCGCGACGGGCCCCGCGCGCGCCGCGAAAAACGGCGCGAGAACAGCGAGGGGAATGGCGGGGGAGGGAAGAGAAGGGCTGAGGGAGCTCCGAGCGCCCCGGGAACCCCAACACCTCCGAAGCACCCCCTCAC